GCGCCTCAATGTAATCACATCTGCGGTTGTCCTTCAAATCTTGCTCCCAATGAATGTTTGAATGTCCACTTTGACTAGTGCCGCTAAAGACAAGGCGGGTTTGTGTATCCCTGGTGAATGGCTCCCATCTTACTTCAGGTGGGGAATTTGGAGAGACAAGTGTGTTTGGATCAAGGTATGTGAGAAATGACGACATGTAATGTTGATAAGAGCGAGCCAGAGTGACATCGTCCAGAGTCGATGATGAAGTCCTGCGAATCGTGTTAGTGATTGACTTTAGAGGTTATCAAAGGGGTATGACATGAGTGAAGGAAAGAGATGGTATTTGACTCATAATGGATTGAAAAGAAATGGAAGATCCTGTCCTTGGGACACCTTGAGAAATGAGGGTGCTGAACTGGTAGAGTGACGAACATCCCATCGATCTATTCACGATGTCAGTTATTTGTAGCATGTGGTAGACATTGTCAACTAACATTTCCAAACAGCGGATTTGGCAGAGATCTGAAGAGCAGCCTTGTGTACTGGACAGGAAGACTGCAGATCATTGTCGACGGCAACAATACGGCTCCACTGTAAACCAGATCCGAGAGGTCCCTCGTCTGCAAACTCCCCGGGTGGGTAAATCTCAAGCATATCTACTAAAGTTTTCTTGGGAACATAGCTCAAGAAGGCTGAGGCAAAGCCCAGAGCGCTGTCAGAAGAGTTGAAATTGACGTTTGATGGGACTCGATCGATAAGCTCGTCAGTGGTGTGGCCAATGAAAGTTGGAACACTTGCTAATTGACTATTTTCCATTAACACGGATGGGTAGGCACGAAGAAAGTCACCATCGATAACTGGTGCGTATCTAAGCAGATTGTTAGCTACTAGCTCGCACGCCAAATTAAATGCTTCTCTTACACGTGGTGCGGAATTGAATGGCTCTTTAGGAAGACTTGATAGAAAGCCGCCGCAAGTGTATCAATGGGCAAATCTTGAAGGCACTTAATACAGCTTCGTCCGGGTGTAGGTGCACAGCTAGTTGTGTCAGCGAAACTAGTTCGAAAAGCAGGAGGGCGGGAACTCACTTGGTCAAGCGTAGGATATCATCATAATGTTGTTGCCATGTGGTGTAAGTTGGGTATGGAATTGGCGTAAGGCCAGTAGCTGCACCGCAATCAAGAATCATTGCACGGAAAGGAGGTTCGAGGGTACCACCATATGCGATCAATTGGCATGTTGTAGCATCCGCGCCGCTTGCTTGACCTCCAAGGGTGATCTAAGAGTGTCATGACATGCCGCCTGGGTGCATACTAGGGAGGAGAGCTGCTTTCCTTGGTGTAATCACCACCAAAGTCTTGGATGTTTTGTTTCACCCATTGCAAAGCGAAACGTAGATCCTTCAAGCCAATATTGTGCCTTCCCACCTTGCCAGTTTCGACTCCGCCAGGAAAGCCGAGAAAGCTGAGTCGATAGTTCACAGCGACAAAGATGAAAGGTGCTCCCATTATCTGTGCATTGATAACAAAATTAGTGCCATCGATGTCGGACTTGTCACCGCCGATGAATTCACCACTATCAATAATTAATAGTCGTGTTTGTTTGAGGGAAAGCAAAGCTTACCCATGGAGAAATACAAAAACCGGCAAGTGGGACTTGTTGGTGGCAGTGGAAGGACGGATGATGTCAAGGGCGAGACAGTCCTCAGAACAAGTGCAGAGAAGATTGTTTTCAATACCGAAGCATTTATTGCTCGTCGGCTTTGAGGTATCCACAGTTCCCAAGCAGTCCATAATATCCACTGGTGGTTGGATACGTCTTTTGCCAGTTGGGGGTTGCGCATATGGAACACCGATGAACCTGTCGATCCCGGTACTTGAGTTTGTAGCGCCAATGAAGGTACCATGCCGGGCAGTGACCGAGTCTTGTCCAGCTACCAAAGTGCTGAGGACAAGAAGTGGCAACTTTGAGAGCAGCATCTTGAGTGCGCTTTGATTGTTGTGACGATTTGAAGTAGTTCGATCTATCGATCTTGGTGTTGTAGAGAGTGGATGTGAACGAGAGAATGGCAAAGAAATATCTCCCTTATCTCGTCGCCGCTTCTTGAGCATGGGTATTCCCTCTTAAGTGAATTTTCCAGCACCTTCAGCACCTTGTTGGCCACCGCCTTCACTCCTTGAATCTTGAAACACTTGATTGCAAGAGTAAACTGCCGAAAGAGGAGGGAGACCACTTGCGCTGAATAAACCAATGTCTTAAAGCAACAAATATTTCACGTGGCACTTTTGTTGACTTTGCATGAGGAGGCTGATATGTTCTGTTTAAAATAAATGTTGAATACATTTGTCAACATGGATCGGAATCCGCAAGTTGAGGTATATAGCACCTCTGGAGATTTCCTTCCAAGAAGTACAGGATTTGTCTCTCATCACAAACTCACTACCATTTGATCATCAACTGGTCTGCACCTCCAGAGCCCATTGGGGGTGGGGGGTGGGGTTGCATGTGGAGGACTATTCACTGCCAAAGTGAAACTGTTCCCCGGCACTGTGAAATCCTCCATAAAGCCAGACCACGAAAGAACGAACAAGTTCACCAAGCAAAGAATCAGAGAAAAAGCGAACCCAAGGCTAACATAAAATATCACCTTACATTTTGATGTGTATCCCGAGGTATTGCCCTGTTACCACAGCCCAAGTTGACAAACTCGACTCTACTGCGTGGGTGATGTCAGAGTTCCTATCCACTTTGTCTGTTGCTCCTAGGGATGAAAAGTTGCCTGAACTAGCCCTCGACTGCGAGGCATGGAAGGATCTCTCCATCGATGGAGCTATCACCCATCATACAGTCAGTGTTAGGTCAAGAATTCAAACATGGGTGATTTGTGTGAACGTATTAGGCTCTCCGGTCTTTTATATGAGTGGTACAGACAGACAAAGAATTCGATCAACCCTTCGAGATTCGACCATTCTTCAATTGTGGTTCTATCCTCAGGAAGATTATGAAGCTCCGTTTAGAAAACATAGCATCATCTTAACGAATATTGTCAACGTCCAACTCATGAAGCTTGCCTCCCGACACTCGGATTCCAGAGAAACTATTGTCGAACTGTTAAGATCCAAGCCTTTAAATTCATCCATAATGATGACAAGGAGACTTTGTTGAACGAAAAGCAAGCTGGCTGAAGTTTCTTTTCTAAGAAGGCAAACCGGATTTCTCAATTCTAAAGGAACACCCTCTGCCACTAATTGCCAAGCGATACATAGCTGGTGACACCCGGGTGAGAGCTATCTTTTTGGGTTATATCATTCATACAAACAATCTGTTGAATTAAGGAACACCCTGTTCGACACAGGATTAATGAGTGTTGTTGCTGGCGAGTTAATGAAACGAGTGACAGGTTCGCAGAAACCTGACTACCAACATTTAGTGAGTTGGTGGGATGCAAGAAGATCTCTTTATGCCTTTCTAGGGATTTTGAATGCAAAGAAAGAGTCTCCTCTGTTGAGGAAGAAACTTTTGTAAACGAACAAAGATGTCTAGATATGTAAAACTATGCATATTTAGAGGAATGATAGATGTCTTTGTACTTCTAGCAAGTAAACATTGTTGGCTCTATGTAGCTTTCCGTACAAACACTCATTAGGTTTTATACCATACCTTTCTGCCGCCGCAGCAAAACAAATTAATATAATTCTACACCTAGAAATTCGATTCTTTGCCATACTCCCTTGGTCCCACCTGTTTGCCTTGAAGTTGCATATGTGTTTGGTCCCTTGCTTACCGCATACCTAGGTAGGCCTACAGCCGATATGTGCTTTGCTCAAATAGGATCAACGATTATGAAGCCACTTTGATGTTGAAAGCCACCATTTGTAGTTTGGTACTGCGAGATCTTGTCCTGCATGGCTGACTGCTGCTTGCCTTTGCCTTGACACAATGAGCTAGATCACGGAAATCTATGCATATGTTGCTTGCCAACTAAAGTCGGATGAATATTTGTTCTTTTGTGGTCATTTTTGTGCAGCCAGTATGCATAATTTTTGCCTGTCGCAAAGAAATTTATTTATTGGAACTTTTGAGATGGCAGATATAGAAGTATCCACTGCTATCTCTAATTACAAGATCCCACGTTCATCTACCTTAAGACCTTGAGATGCTTTGCTTCGTTTCTTCAACCCTCAATGAAACCTGCCAGCAAATACTGGCATTCTGAAATTGTTCTCCAAGCAGCGTTGGCCTAAAATCGGAAGTTATTAGGCACGAGGAGCACCAAATTAAGGAAGAAGGCCCTCGATTCGAACAGAATTTGAAGGATACCAAAGAAATTTGCAAGACGGAACAAAAATTGAGAATAATGGGGTTGGAAGAGGTCGAATGCGAACAGCTCGATCACCAAAACAGATCGAAAGAACAGACGGCAGCGATGGGGCCTCCAGTCCACCATTACCTGCCAGCAGCCAAGGATGTTCAACATCGAGGAGAGGTAATTGGTCAAATGGTCCATAATTACAATATGGCAATTGCGGACATCAAACGTTGTATGAACGCTTTTGAAGAGGAATTGCTCAACAAGTTGCTCGATGCCAAGAATATCCACAGCGATGGAACCAAGGATACTGTTACCATTCCAACAAAGGAAGCCAAAAATGCAAGGAAATACAAGATGAGCGACTGTCATATCAGCAAAGTTCTCAAGCGAAACAAAGGAAGTAAAATGAAATCGAAGACTAAGAGAAAGCGGTGTTTGCTTGAATGCGAGATGAAATCGGAGGATGAAAAGTTCGAAGGGAAACCGAGGAAGAGGAGAACGTATGAGCTTCGCGTTGGGAAGAAGCAGAAGCTAGAGTAAGAATCTTTTGCCGACTGGTAAGCTGTGAACTTGGTGTAATATAGGTGTCGTGGTGTTTTCAAGATGGGTCAGAACGAATACGTAGTGTAATGCACAAGTGAAAGGGCCTCTGATAATTTGTTTATGATTTTCAAATGCACGAAATGCTTCCATCCAATAAGAAGCGGCTTACGTGGTTTAGTGGTAAAATCGAGCCTTGCCAAGATCTTTCAGATCTTCAGCTTGGCTTGGCCCCGTGTTCGATTCACGGCGTAAGCATTCATTATTTTGTTTTCTTAAGTTTTTTTGGCTTCTCAACGGTGAGAGACTTGAACCCTCTTGTGTTATCGAAGACCTTTCAACGTTCCAAATTCTCCGGCTAAACTCCGCCCCAATCAGTTTAAGATCCACTAACTTTAGCGAGTCCTTCAAGAGACTCTACATATCACGAAAATGTTTGGAGGTGGAAATACCAATAAGACACACCAGTTGCTAGCTGGGCGAGAGAATTTGCACTTACTGACTATAGATGGCCCTGCCCCATAATTCAGGCTCTCAAATGGGAGAATAAGTAATCACGTGGAAACTCGTTAATCACTCGTGCTTGAAGATATTTCTAAGAAGGAACGGTAGAGCTGTTTCAGAAATTTTGGCCATCAGCCTTGCCGACCCTCCTCACCCAACATCAACCATCAACACCGCGCGGGTTGCCAGACCCCTTCTAAAATAAATAGATCTTCGAGATTGTCTTGAAATGCCAGGCGATTCTTCGACAGAATCAAGGTCACCTCGTCCAATACCTCCAAAACGCTCATTTGCAGATTTCGACGAGCCTGAGACCAAGCAGAGCAGGATGCCAAGGTATGTCAATATCCCCTCATACTAGGCAGCGACTAATGGAGAAGTTCGTGCAGACTGTACAGCAACAACCAAAGCCTCTCCCTCTCAAGCGTCTACACGCATCATTACTCGAAGACCTTGTCGACCCGCTCCCTTCGAGTCCTGCTCCGATACCATCCTGAGTCTGTCGATGGTTTTGTTACCCAGTGGGTCGAGTCTGTAGGATCAGAATCCTACCGAGAAAGACATTGTCAGTCGGACACTCTTCTTGGTCACTCAGACGGCGACTTTATCCCTAGGAGACTTTCAAAATCGGCGCCGAATATGGAGTACAGAAGGGATGATGGATTCGCTCTGCCACCGACACCTGCTTCTACCAGGTCACTTTCATACCGAGCAGATGCGGAGGACGACGCACAGGTGTCCTCGTACGGCCCATCAGTCGCGCCATCGAATATGAGTGGTGCCTCTACTGGTTCAGGTCGAAAGAGCCTTGTTGAGGACCCTTATTACCGGGACATGAACTTGGCTTCCAATAATATCTACTTGCGAGATATCGACGAGGAATTCCCGGAATACATTACCGGCCTCCTTGATCATGTACGCAAGGACCGCGACTCTCCAGGTCCATCATCGGACCAACTCAGGCACGACGCGGATTTACGTTGGCTTGAGATGGGATCCGGCGAACCCGCTGTGGAAGATTATTTTAAGGCTAATATCTTCCCTAACCCGAAACCATTAGATAGTCTATACCGTATTAACAGAAATCCAATGGCTGAACACGTTGTACCAGATGTCGGATCAAAGCTTAAAGTCAGTAATCCAGTACCTGATATGCTTTATGGATATAACCGACTTGGAGCATTTCCCCACCAACAAACTAAACTTATCTCTATGGGGACTGAGATGGTAGCTAATAACCAGGGCTTGATATTTCCCTTCTTTGTCATCGAGTTCAAGGCTGACGGTCCTGGAGGGTGTGGGAGTATGTGGGTGGCGACGAATCAATGTCTTGGAGGCTCTGCATCATGCGTCAACATTACCGAACGCCTCAACTGCTAGCTGAGGTAATGCAAGAACAAAGAGGTCCGGCCTATTGATAGTGCTGCATTTAGTATCGCCATAAACGGCACGGAGGCGCGACTATATGTACCCTGGAAGCATGATGAGCTCAAATACTACACGCGGAAGGTCGATAGTTACTTACTTCAGAAGCCTAAAGATTACATGGAGTTCCGTAGGTACGTCCGGAACATTATCGATTGGGGCAAGGGCAAGCGCCTGAACGAGATTCGGGACTCATTGAATAGCCTCCTCAAGGAAAGTAGGCAGACGGCCTCCCAGTGGGCCAAGTCTCGCCCGCGGCCTTCGTCAGATGATTCCGCAAGAAACACGAATTCACCTTGTCGTCAGTGAGCAATTCCTCCAAAGCACAGTGCTCTAGCCGGGAGCGTGTGTACTCTCTAACTTGTTGATCCATTGTAGAGGTAGAGGGATGGATCAGGCTAGTCTGCCTTTGATCTATGAAAAGGAATCTCTGCCTCAGGGCCCATTTGGTTCACTCAAATACTCGGTATCCATAGCCAGCTCTTAAATACCAGTATATGCGACCTTGACCGAAGCGTTTTGTTGACGCATATACCAGTATTTAAATACTAGCTTTGAGATGAAATCCAAAAACCTAATATTTTAATACTAGTATCTATTAATTACTCAGCTGAAAATCTTTTCGCGTTCGACACTTACCGTCATACAACACCATGGATTCCGACGACGCTACTAGCTTTGCACTTCTAACTCCTAACGCTCTTGTAGTTGTAGAGTATTAGAAGGAAACCTATTGTGATTAACTCGAGAAAAGGACTTAGGCGTGAAAAGGCCATGATAACACCCAGAACCTCCTACAATGTTGTACACACTAGCTGTAACGTTTATGGTATATACCAAGGTGAGAACGTTAGGTGGTTTGTAGTATACACGAGAGAATAATTAGGGTGTTCCCTATTATAGTATAAGAATAGAGTGTATTACAAATACTATATTGTAAAGGGGCAACCTGGCTGCGAACCAAAAAAAACCTTTGGAGTTGTAAAATTACCTCTCAAACAAAACAACAAAACTATCCCTTTTCATGTTTCATGCTTAGTCACGTGACGAGAACAACGTGACTAAGTCACATGACCAAGTTTCCCCAACACAATATTAAGTTAAGTAGTATAAAGTTCTTATCTAAGGGGGCTAGTTAATCTTATATAGAACCTTCCTACTAGTAAATTCTAGGGAGCCTTAGATCCTAAAGCTCTAATATGATATAGTCACGTGATCTTTAGTCCCGTGATCCTATTGCGACTCCTTAGGTTCTCTGTGTAATAATAGTCTGTGACCCTCCCCGAGGTGAAGGGATTCACCCCCAAGGAAGGGCACAGACTATTAACAAACTAATTAGTATCTAATTACTAGAAGCGAGAATTTTACGATTTCGGGAGAATATTATATTTAGGTACGTATATACGGCTTCACGGCTTTATAAGGGGCTCGGTACCTGCTTGAATCACATTTGAGTGTTCACAGAATAAATATATGGGTACACCTACTAAAGCTCTAAAACCGGACTAAGTTTGGCCCGACCAACATTAACATGGAAGAACATTCTTCCGAATCCGAAATGTAGATAGAAATTTCGCGACCGGACCTCTTTGATAAAAGACATGTCCTCCCTCATGAACGCTTGAGATAATACAGTGAAAGCAAAGGTATGTGTCTCCTCCTTCGTTACCAATCTAGCATATAACTTCTATATGATGCCACGCAACAATAAGTATTTGCTACTTCAGAGCCCAGGAGACTGGGCAATGAGACAACCCATCACCAATTGCCCTGATAGACAATTTAGTCCCTCCGTTAGAACACATCTGCGACCAGGCATCGTGCTAACACTATTGCTCATAGGTACTAAACTCGATCGCAATGTCTCCGCCCCTGCCCGATTACTTTACTACCCGTCTACCAATTCTTCGTGTTTGAGCAGATTATATCAGAGAGCAGGACAAGGTATCAGAAATATGCCCCTCGATTGTAAGCAAAGAGTCTACAACAAGAGCTTTGTGGCATTTCGCATTTCGCGCGATTGGTTTCAACAACGCCTAGGGTACGCAAAGTTGGGGAGCTCAAAAACGCATCTATTTGAGGTGACGGCCCCTAGGCATGTCTCTGTGGTGTCATCTTGTTAAAATGCAGGACGACTTGGATATTCAACCTATGTTGTCACTGTACACTCTTTTGCCACGCTGTTGTCTATTTCTTATTCTAGTTCGGCAAATAATGCCTAGCGAGCTATTCTCGATGGAAAGCGAGATCTCTCTATGCTGATTGCCTGGGAATAATCGACTCGGTCAGATTTGCGGCCGCCATAACTAGGGAACCGAAATCATCTAGCTGAGACAGCCAGGAGTCAAGCCTTCGATCTGCCCTAGATCGAAAGTTTAACAAGTCTCCATAGGTGAGTTGAGTCTTTGGCCCAATCTCTTCGCTCCTTGACGCAAACTCCTGTTTCCATTCTGCGCTTGTAGTGGCTCTCCACAGGTCTCGTGCACATGGTAATGCCATGCTCTTGAGTATACTTCCATCGCACCGATAATAGTGTAGGGCTGAGGAGTAATCGAAGAACATATCAACTAGAAACAGCACAATTATAGTTCTACACATCACACAGATCTCAAATCAGCCAACCTTTTCTATTGTTTCCTTTGGCATCAGGCGTGGCGGTTTATCTTACCGGCGTAGAGATTCGGCCAGTCCCCATCCCTTCCAAGTAGGCGTGGCACCCTCTGATGGGTATTCGTACTTCGTGGTAAGCCCCATCACTTTTAAGGCAAGTTTCTATTCATGAATATGTTAATGAATGGGGCCAAAATACAAGAGATGGCAAGGTCCTGTACGTACGACCATAGTATTGATCAAAGGCACGTCAAAATTAGTTGCCTCGTCATTGTCTTCCGAGAGTCGAAGAAGGAAGTATACAGTTATCGCTTGAAGAGCGGCCACAGTATTCCAATCGTCATATTTCATGTACTAAAATAGTCAGAGATATGAAGCTGGCAATGATTAGTCTACGAGGAACACGAACCTCGGCCGATATTCTTTCTTGTTCCATTCGAACAGCTTTCCAAATAAAGACAGCATTGCTATTATTCTTCACAGAATACATTTGTACGATCGCCGCGCAATTTGCTAAAGGCCCTGGGAGAGTTTTCTGGGTTGTCCGGTCTTCTCTCTGCATATCAATCATACTCGTTGGGTGGATGAAGGGCGGCAGGCTTTTCCCGGGAAGCATCATGTGTGGATACGTTCGTAGCGAGCAAAGCAGATAATTCTTGTTGAGGGATAGCTGATTGTCTCGTTTCCTTTGGCCAAATAACTTAGGTGCCCTAGGCATA